ATAACACCAGTGGCACAGACACTGAGATCGACAATTAACAAATGGGACCTCCTGAAACTAAGAAGCTTCTGTAAGGCAAAAGACACAGTCAACAAGACAAAAAGGCAGTCCATAGAATGGGAAAAGATATTCACTAACCCCACATCTGACAGAGGGCTAATCTCCAAAATTTACAAAGAACTCAAGAAGCAAGTCTCCAAAACACCAAAGGATCCAATTAAAAGGTGGAGTACAGAACTAAATAGAGAATTCTCAATAGAGGAGGCTATAATGGCCAAGAGGCACTTAAGAAAGTGCTCAACATCCTTAGCCATCAGGGAAATGCAAATCAAAACAACTTTGAGATACAATCTCACCCCTGTCAGAATGGCTAAAATCAAAAACACCGAAGACAATTTATGCTGGAGAGGATGTGGAGAGAGGGGAACACTCCTCCACTGCTGGTGGGAGTGCCAACTTGTACAGCCACTTTGGAAAGCAGTATGGAGATTCCTCAGGAAAATGGGAATCAATCTACCACAAGACCCAGCAATTCCACTCTTAGGCATATATCCAAACGAGACAAATTCATACAACAAGGGCATCTGCTCCACTATGTTCATAGCAGCATTATTTGTAATAGCCAGAACCTGGAAGCAACCTAGATGCCCCTCAACTGAAGAGTGGATAGAGAAAATGTGGTACATTTACACAATGGAGTATTACTCAGCAGAAAAAAACAATGGAATCTTGAAATTCGCAGGTAAATGGATAGCACTGGAAGAAACAATGAGTGAGGTAGCCCAGTCACAAAAAGACAAACATGGTATGTACTCACTCATATATGGATTTTAGACATGGATTAGGATAGTGCCAGTCTGCACTTCCACTGACAGAGTCTGGGAAACAGGAAAGAACCTAAAAGATATGCATGGTACCTAAGAGAAGAGAAATGAGGCAAGATCCTCTGAACAGATGGGGAACACGGCGAGGGGTGGGGGGGAGAGTGGGAGCTGGGAAGAAGAGAGGGGGAAAAGAGGGAGAGTAGGTCATGGGGGAACAGGAAGGTTGAGGGGGGGTAGAATAGGGGTAAGAGGGAATCATAAGCTAGAAGACAGATCAGGCATCAGTGTGACCTCTAGTGATCTAAAGGGATGACACCGATTGGCAAGCTAAGCAATAGTGGAGAGACCACCTCGAAATGCTCATTCCTGATAATGAACTTGATGTCTATAACCATCCTGGAGCCTTCATCCAGTGACTGATGGAAGCAGAGGCAAACACCCACAGTTAAGCACTGAACTGAACCCAAGGAACCCAGTGACAGAGAGAGAGGAGCGATGAGCAAATTGGCAAAGAATGGGCTGGCAAAACCAGCAGAGACAGCTGATCTAAACAGGGGAGAGCTCTTGGACCCCAGACTGACAGCTGGGAGGCCAGCATGGGACTGATCCAGACCCCCTGAATGTGAGAGTCAGTGAGGAGGCCTGGGCAACCTATGGGGCCCTGAGCAGTGGATCAGTGTTTATCCCTGGAATACCAACAGACATCGTGTGTCCATAACACAAAGAGGGATGCTCTCTCAGCCTGGACTCTTAGGGGAGTGCCTGGACCCTGCCCTGAGTGAAATGACAGACTCTAGATATCCCCTATGTGGAAGGAATTGGCAATAGAGTGGGAGGCTGGGTGAGGGGATGGTGGGGAGGTGCGGGAGGGGGGAGGGAGAGGGAGAGGGAACTGGGATTGACATGTAAAACAGATTATTTAAAATTAAAATAACAAAAATAAAAATTATTTATACAATTTGGCAAATAATTCAAAAGGTGTTATCTCAAGTAATTCTGAATATTATAACCTGTACAAGTAGTGTCCTAATCTAATGTTCAGTGTTAAAGGAATGCTGGGGTGAATGGTAGCAAGATGCAGTTATCCGATTACAAAGATGAGACAGACACACCCTATAATTCCTGTTATTTATGCCAAAAGTGAGCAAGGCCACTGACCTGCTTCAAGCCAATAGAATATAGCAAACATGAAGGTTTGGAAGATAGGATTAAAACCCCTAGTTAGTGGACCTCACCAGGCAGCTAATAATAACCTTTAGTGATGGATGGTTTTACAAACATTATGAATTTCACGGTCACAAGGAAAATAATTGTTACAAACTAAGGAGCTTGGAAAGAGACCCTTCTCTATTTGAGCATCTAGATTAGAATACAGCCCCAGGTACTAGGAGACTGTAGCAATTCCAAACCTACACAGCGACATTATTCAGCCATGTTAACATACTGGTATCTTATGCTGAAACCCAAAGCCTGCGTCTTGGTTATCTTAACCTGACCAAATCAACTCTCTTCAGTGAGACAAGTGCTTCCAACACATTTTTAAAAAAAGTTGTGTGCCTATATGCTCCCAGTGGCCCAGATTAAAGCAGAGGAAGCTTTCTCTATATGAGTAGTTACAGGGCTTGAATCCATATGCCACTGCTCTGGGAGTGTGGCTTTTTGAAATAGTATTTTTATACCGAAGGGAAAATATTTGAGATGGCATCAGACTCTATTTTGGGATAACTTAAAATAAGCACCAAATAAATGACTTCTGAAATACATGGCTGTTGTCTTTCTCTTACCTATGTTAAGAGTTTTGACAGCTAAAAAGTCCTTCAGACAGTATGAGGTATAGGAGGGCTTGCTATTGATACTGTACCATGGTTATAAGGCAATTGGATACTGACAAGGGCAAGGAAGATGTTTCTGGAATGCTTTCAGAAGGAGCTGCCTAAATGATACAAATTCAGGGATAAGACCAGGAAAGGATTAAAACACCCCTCTTAAGTTTTTGTACCCCACCATTCTGTAGTCTCTCTTGGTAATTGTCTTTAAGTTGGTTACAATTACTCAAGATTATCTAGATGTTTGCTGCAACACATTCACTGTTTGTCAGCTTCTGTGTCATTCAAGAGTTGAAAGGCTCTAGACTTAGATCTGACTTCCTTTACTTCTTTGGCAAACCAGAGGCACATGGTCACACAAGCCTCCACCAAGTTTATCAGTGAGGTCTCTCCTAGCTTCATGAACTTTCTTACCTTATAGATGGGGATATAAACGGTCCAGAAAGGGCCAACCCCAGCCAAGTCCTGCTCTCATTGGAACACTCACTGGCTAGATCTGGAGGACCAGGGCACAACTGGAAGCCAGGCTTGCAAATGCATGCAGGTTGGTGGTGGAAGAGTGTGGGTGAGGTGGAGGTTGTTTGGATAAAAATTATGCGCTGCTGCAGATGCTAGCAGCAAGCCAGAGTAACAAACAGTGAGGCCGCTAGGGAGAGGCCTTTCACATTGTAAGTGGGAGGCGGTCACTACAAGTTTGGTGACTACTATCAGGAGCTCAGCCTGCTCCAAGCCTTCTCTGATGGGTAAAATAAGGTATTACCTTTGAAAATCGCCAAAAGGAGCCAAGGGACAGTAAAGCACACATTATGTCAGAAAGTGTAGCATCATACTCAAATTTAGCTGAACATACCAGGTCAGTTTCCAAAATGTCAACTCTCTTTTCTATTCTCAGCCCCTTCCAACCCCAGCAATATTAACAATAAGATACTAAACACAGTTACAAACACTGCACTGTTTTTAAAACAGCACAATGCTATATGTATACACTTAAAAACATGTACACTGCAAATACTTTTATTTTCTTTTGGTCTTTTGCAAAAGAAACATACACTATATCTTCCAATATACTTAGAGCTGTATGGTAATATTGACTTTGATTTACTGAGAAAGGGGGTATTACTCAGTAAGGCAGACAAATGCAATTTGTTGGATATTTTGCCTATAACAATTAATGGATGACTCAGCACACAAGTTACTTTTTTGTAATGTAAACAAATGCACACATACAAGTAAAACCTCTTCCTCTCCTCACACCATCCAGAGGAATGCATTTCCCCAGTATACTGAAACGCTCCAAGAACTGGCGGAGCTGGCAGCATACTGGGCAGACACACAAGCCATCCCTTAATTAACCAGTACCTCTTCCTTTCAGTCCTGCTCTGGGAGCCATGCACACGAGTAACTGAAATGCCATTCATGAAGCAGGTACAATCACCAAAGGAAAGGAGGCTTAGATTTTCCTTTTACTTCAAAAGGAACAAGTCAATTGGCCATCAGTCTTTGATAAGTTCTGGAGTTGCTACCACCTCCAGAAACTGTACAAATAGAGAGTTCTCATTTTACTTATTTAAAACACACACACATACACACACACACACACACAAACATATATCACATAAGGCAAATTAACTTCATGCTTTACTTCAGCAAAATGGGGGGAAAAGCTTTCTCTGAAATTGGCACTGAAGTTTCAAATTCTTAATAGCAAGAAGATACATCCAACTGTAAGCAGAATGAACAGTCATATACATATCAATCAAAATTATTTCCTTTATATCATCAGCAGTGAACCCCAGAGGTAGTATGGCAGAAACGAGCATGGATCCTATCAGGTCACAACCAATGAAGTAATTAAATTTATTTTTTTCCCCTGTGGTTTTGACCATAAATTGCTTTACATTTAGGATCTGAATAAAAACCACTCTCAGCAGAAATCCTGGTCCATTAATTTAACTGACAATAAGTTTACAACTTTCAGGACTGCAGATATAAAAAAGGTATAAAATTATGTTCAGTTTGAAATGGTTTTAATCATATTCATTAAAAATATTTACATTTCCCAGGACTTCCAAAACCCCTTGCAATATAATTCTACACTATACTCTATTTATAAAATGAGGCTCATTTATGAGATTTCAATGACCGCTATACTGCAAATTACTTACATTCTGTAAAATACTTTAAGAATTTCCATAGCAAAGGTAGTTTACATTGGATTACCTGGAACCCAACAGTGCCCACAGATGAGCCTCTTAGAGCTCTGCCTTAACGCTACCATGTGCTGGCCTGTCCCTCTTGTATTCACTTACAGTGTGCACATTGTGAAATAAACACATATGCAGCATGGCCGTGTTTTGATATGTATTTTTATTTCCCTGCAGTTTTCACTTATCAAGAACAAGTAACAGGGAAAGTTGTCTGAACTAGTGCATAAACAAACATTCTGAAACACCACTACACGTATCTAATTTACAAGAACCGTATAAAAAAAGTCACTAAAACACTACACTATGAAGGTGTCCAACACTTACAGTCAGACTTTTTCCAACCCGTTACTTGCCTTGTAGCCACAGGAAAACTCTCCAAAATTGAAAAGACAATCTTGCCACAACCCTCCCCCCTCCCAAAACCTGGGATGGCTCGATATATAGACTTCCAATAATTATTGCAATGATATAATGCAATACATACCTGGTAAATATCTTTTATGTGGTGTGTTACAGTTTTAAAGCCAGTTAAAATATGCAGTCTTCAGATAAAATGTAATCCGTGAAAAATTTTCATATCTGCACAGTTTAAATGTGCTAGATGCATAATTTTCCTAGTCCACTTTTTCTGTGTAATTATTTTTTATAAACTGGTATTATAAATAGAAATATACATTCAAAATATATGGAAAAGTGAGTTACTCCATTAAATTTGCATGTATCGATCCATCCCTTTCCCCTGCACAGTAATAGAAAATACTATTTTGCCTTGAAGTCGTATTTGACAGTGAAATGCCACTAAAGTATTTACCAAAAAGTCCATCTAGTCAAATTGTGAAACAAAATGAACCAAGTGAAAACTTTACAGTTCCTTTAGAAAAAAATTACAAGAATTTCATTTCCTAGCTATGAATCTTTAACTTTTTAGACACAAAGTTGGATTTATTTTTTTTTACAAGATACAAAATGTAAACATGGCAAAATAAATAGTTAAAACAAGTGATGCAGGATCCCATTTCATGCTCATGATCCCATTAAAGAATTATTTTTAAAATCCATTCAGTTGCAAATTCAAGTGCAAAAGCATGATGATGAATATCTACTATTCAAGTAACAGAAATAATATTGATGATACAAATAAACTATTTTACAAGGTAGTGATTTTCCCAATTTTACAAAATATACATCATATATCGATTTAACATCCGATATACTGTAGTCCGTTTAGGTCCATTGTTCTGCTCTGTGATCCACAGAGTGTTGCCTTTTGTATTCCGCTGGAATATGAATGACTGCACACCATCCACACAGGTCAAAGCCACATGCTTTAGGTTATGTCACTTCCATAGCTACTGTTGTCTCTGCTATTCCATTTAAACCCAATCTTTCTGGTTCATGGTTCTCTCTGTAATAAGAGTAGAATAAGTATTAGAACTCTCGAGAATATATTACTAGAGCATGGATAGGTCACAGTTTTAAGTAACTATAACTACAGATGACCCCACAAAAAAAAAACCCTTAATTTTTATCATTTCCAGACAGCAATTAAATTTTTTTCTCTAGCTCAGAAATTCCACTACTTTCTAACACTAGTGATAAATTAGGGAATATATCAAGATTAATCCAAACTTCTTTTTATAGGCTTATGGTCAAAACTTATGAACCCATACAAATAAACTTTTTTTCTGTTTCACTGTTATCCTTACATTTGTGTCACTGAAAGGAACATAAAACCTTGCCCTGCAAAACATTATTTGGCTTTAGAAAGTTCTTAAAATTTTTAAAAATATAAAGTGAAGGGTCATAGAGTATGATTTCAATTTAAGTTTCTGGTATGAACTGATGATAGCTCCAACCTAGACTATCAGTCTATAAAATAGATGAGCTAGGGCAGAGAGACGGCTCAGCAGTTAAGAGCACTGTTGCTCCTGCAGAGGACCAGCTTTGATTCTTAGACACAGGCAATGCCCTGCACCCATCTGTAACTCAGTCCCAGAGAATCTGATGCCCTCCACTGGTATCCACAGGTACCAGGCATGCACATAGTGCATACACATGCATGCAAGCCAAACACTCATACACATAAAATTATAAATCCTAAAAAACTTTAAAAATAAAATAAAAAAATGAGTGACTGAAGCTTCTAAAGTATCAATCTGACATTCTCGTCTCTCTACAGTTGGCATTTAAGGAAGCTACTAGTGTCTGTAGGCACAGAGCATTCTTTGTGTTAACCAAATCCTCAAACTTTTTTGAAAAATCAAGTCTGTTAAGAGATACTGTGTGAGCAGTGAAAAGCCAAAGGCCCTTCTCCTCCTCCAGGAAGCTGATGCAAAGCCCGAGAACGGTCCCTGCCACACACCTGGCCATGCTGCCGATGGCACTGCTGGGAGTAACCTTTGGCACTCTGTCCATACTGGCAGCAACTGTGGCAAGTTTTAAGGCTGTTGGCGATGGTGCTGAAGTCCGTGTATTGATATGCACATTGACAGGAGAAACAACACTGACGTTATTGAGGTGCACTGCATTGGTCAGGCAGGAATTGTTCATGGGAAGCGTCTGAGGGCTGCTTGTGCACAAGGCTGGGATCAAGTGGTTTGTAGTAGTGTGGCCAACTGTCCTTACAAGCTGCACAGCTGAAATCCCTGCGCTGGATGATAAAGCCATATTGGTGGAATATAATGTTTTGGACGGTCCTGCAGAAGAGTGGAGAAATCATTCTATTAGTGTAATGGGACAATCAATCAATCAAACAAACACACAAAAAACTCCTAAAATTAGGAATTTAGTAATGAAAGTAAATGTCTCATATTCTAGTTCATTAAATTCTAAGTTAACTTTCCATATCACAGTCATACAAAGAGTCTTCACCCAGCATTTTGATACCTCTTTATATGTCAACTTTGGAGATAAATGCAACAGGACAGATGAAAACGATAGCTGGGTTGCCCTAAAGAGTTACAAGCATACAAAGATCAGCAAAGCAGACTGAAGAAAGAAAAGAAGAAGGATGCTCCTGAGTGCATGTAATGAGACTAGAGGGTTCTGAGCTTGGAAGCTGTGGGAGGACAAAGCAGCATGTCTCTGGAGAGCAGGCAGTAGGCAGCAGGCAGGCTTTCCAGCCCTAACGTATCCCAAGAGGAGGAGTCAGGGAAGTACACCTAAAACTATGTGCACAAGCCTTTTAACTGACTGTGTTTTGTATTTCACTTCTTAATCAATTCATAGATGAATCAATGGGGGTGGTTGATAATGAGCTCAATGGATTTCCTAACATGTGAAGCAAACTGATAGTCTATGATGCCATCAGGATGGATGGATGGAGGCAGGCATATAGAAGATAGTGTTGAGAATTCTGGAAACACTCAGCTCCTCATCCAGACCCATCCAGGCATTCTGAAGAGCACTTGCATACATTTCCTCTGTACATATGACAAAACCAAACCCAACCAAATAAGGGGTAACTTCAAACTACTAAGTATCATGTGAAACCCCAGTTGTACCTGAAGGCTGGACAACACCATTCATATTGTTGTGGCCAGTGTTCTGTTCCTTGGATACCTCACTGCGACTTGGAACAGGAGCACTGACAACTGCAGATGCAGCAAAGTGTGCGCTGGCTGAGTCAAGTGTTTTAGACATACAGTCAGAGGTGCTTGAGCCCTATAAAATGGACAGAAGCACAGTTCAGTTTTTCACGCCTGTCTGTCTATGTATCTATCTATATAGGTATCTAAGTATCTGTCTGTCTGTCTGTCTGTCTGTCTGTCTGTCTGTCTGTCTGTCTGTCTATCTATCTATCTATCTATCTATCTATCTATCTATCTATCTATCTATCTATCTATCTATCTATCTAATCCCCTGCCCCCACTGCCAGTGGCAGGGGAAACAGGAATACGGAGTATGTGTGGAGGTCAGAGGACAACTGTCAGGAGTTGGTTCTGTTTTTCCACCACGGCAGTTCCAGGGATCCAACTCAGGTTGTCAGACTTGGCAGCAAGTGCCTTTACTAGCTAGGCAATCTTGCCAGCACCCTACATCCTCAGTTTTGTTAGATGTGATTAATGAGCACATTAAAGGATTTATGGAACCCAAGGACATTACCTTTCTAATCGTGAATAGTTGTAAGTACTTAGCTGTGAGATATAAGACTTTAGGTTTTTTTTTTTTGGTTTATGAAGCATGAAAATTACTAAAAACTAGCAAGCAATTATTTCTGAGAAAAAACAACTAAATTGAAAAGCCCAAGTTCTATTAATTTTTCTAGGTAATAATGAACATTTTAAAACTGCTTGATGAGCAGACACCACAAACAAAATAAAATCACAGACATGATTAATAGCCACTTCTATCACAATATAAAACTCCCAACTTTGAAGCAGGTTGCAAAAACTTCAGATTAGTTATCTGAAGAGACTCACAAAAAGCAAAGCAAACCAAACACAGTGGCCACTCTTTCATGATTCTGTGTAAAACTGCCTGCTACTAACAATGATAGCCACAGGCTCTAAGTCAAGCCCAGATCTACTGGGACTACCAGAGGTGTGGGATATGCAACCAGGGTCACCAAGATTTCCATGGTGTTCCTGACCCTTTGAGAATGAACTAAACCACTGTCGGTTGATCCTGGATTGAGAACTCAATAGAGTATGGCCAAACTGAGTAACTACTAGTTATTACTAAGATTTGTGATTTTTGGAATTACGGAACAACCAATTTAAGAGATACAATGTGAGGTTTATTCTCTGATGATTCAACTTTGAGATTATTTCTTTTTATTTCTGTTTTGCTTTTAATGGTTTAAAACAACAGTGTTGTATTCCTGCATAGTTCTGGAGGTCACGTCTACAATGAGTCTTACAAGGCTCATATCAAGGGTTTGTTGTGCTGGTTTTCTACAATTTTATACAGTATTCTCAGTCTTATCACTCATGTCTGTATTTATGGGTTTCTATGAACTTCTGGTTACATGTCTTTTTCCCTTCGGGGAAATGTGGTTCAGAGAGGCAAGGGGGTGTGTGCAGCTTAGATTTATTGTACATTCAGGAGAATTTCTTCTCCTCGTGAGCTATACTGGCATAGGAAGTCAGTATAGGAAAAACTTTGAGGAAGAGGTTAGAAAAGCCATATTCTTGAAAAAGAAAATGGGAGATGAGGGTTGAGGAGTGACGATTTCAAAAATATAAAATTATTTTATGAAGTCTCAACAATCCTTCCAAAAACTAGTTATTTCTTTCTTAAATCCAAAGTACCTACACATTTGGCTCTCAAAACAACCAGAAACTAGTCTGTAAAACAGTCATTCAAAATAAGTTAACTAAGGAAAACTGAGTTATTTTCTTTTCAGAGCAGAGTGTCAATTATCTGTGGAAAATGGGAAAAGAGGGGACTGGGAGGTCACCTGTGCTTTTGGATGTGTCTGCTGTGAGGAATGCTGGGATTGCTGTTTCTGTTGAAGCTGCGCAAGCTGCTGCCGTTGCATCTGAACTAGTTGCTGCTGATGTGTCTGGAACTGCTCTTCTGTGATGCCCCCGGTTACTGAAAAAGGACAAATAAGTGAGCATTGAAGTATTTTAAATGACTTAAGTAGAATGCAGTGTAAACCAGTTAAGATAAAAAGCAAATACAAGTCACAATATACATCTGCAAAGCAGAAAACACAATGGCAAGTCTTTCAGTGTGGTATATGCTCACGTCCATAATCTCCTTCATTCCTATGCAGACCTTAACTGTAAAACACGATTTTACATGAGTAATTTACCATTTATTCAGACTGAAATTTGTCTGTCTTTGTTTGTTTGTTTTTTTTGACATTTATTTGTGTATTTAGCATGTGGGTGTGGATACCACAACACACTTATGGAGGTCAGAAGACAGCTTGTAGGAGTGGGTTCCCTCCACCCACCAAGTGAATCCTGAGGATGGAACTCAGGTCCTCAGACTGGGTGGCAAATGCTTTCATTACCCACTGAGCCTTCACAGACCTCAGATTTAGTATCTAAGATTAATTTAGTTCTCCATATTAGGGTTGCCCTAGAGTAACAAAAATAGTAAAAATAATGATAAACATTCGAATTTACTAATGTAAATATTAATGACTAAATTACAGGCTTGAAAAGAAAGGGCCACCTACAAGTAAAAATGACTTCTGCCAGTTTTCATGACACTTAAATGAAATACTTTCCTTTCGGATTTTAAATTGGAGTAGAAAACAAGACATTCAAAATAAGACATTCAGTAATCATAAGCCCCAGTACACTCAACATCTAAAAATAATTCGATCAAAGTAAGGGCTAGAAATGATACAATTTCAGAAAACTAGAGTCACAGTAGACCTTCAGATGCAATTTATGAGACAGAAATTTTTCCCAAAGAAAAGTAAACGAAATTTCATGGTCAGAGAGTGGCCGTGACCTGCTGGGAGTATCAGAAAGTAGCAGTGGCTGGCTGCTGCCCCGCCAGGAGTGTCAAATGACCAGGAAGCATCAACAGTAGAGGTTTTCAGGAACTATCTTAAGAAGTCCCTCTGCGAAAGAGTACCTGTGACCCAGCCAGCATTCAGTGCCATCCCCTGTGAGATACCCCGTCACATCAGCAACCACCAGAGCCTCAGCCCTGCCTGCAGCTATAGGAGTGATCACGGGAGTAGTGGCCCCCCTGCATGTGAAGGAGCGACCACCAGAGGCCCAGCCATCAGCTGCACCAATTGGAGGAAGAGGGACCCCCTGAAATACAGGCTCTAGCTGTAGCAATCGGAGAAAGAGACGGGTAGACAACAGTGTAAGAATACACTCCAACAACATAAAGAGAATACGAAACCACCAGAAACTAGTGGTTCTGAAAGAGGACGACCTGAACATCCCAATGCAGATGAAGTAGAAGGAAATAACCTTAAAGATAACTATGAAGATGACTGAAGCCCTTAAAGAGGAATTGATGCAAAATACTCAAAAGCCTTTGACAAAATTCAACAGTCCTTCACGATAAAAGTCTTGAAGAGATCAGGGATAACAGGAACATACCTAAACATAATAAAGCAATATACAGCAAGCCAACAGCCAATATCAAACTAAATGGAGAGAAACTCGAAGCAATGCCACTAAAATCAGGAACAAAACAAGGCTGTTCACTCCATATCTATACAATATAGCACTCGAAGCTCTAGCTAGAGCACAATAAAAGGAGATCAAGGGGATACAAATTGGAAAGAAGTCAAACTTTTGCTATTTGCTGATGATATGATAGTATACATAAACGACACAAAAAATTCTACCAGGGAACTCTTACAACTGATAAGCACCTTCAGTCATATGGCAGGATACAAGATTAACAAAAAAAAAATTCAGTAGCCCTTCTATAACATATGATAAGCGGGCTCAGAAAGTAATCAGAGAAACAATAACCTTCACAATAGCCACAAATAACATAAAATACCTTGGGGTAACTCTAATTAAACAAGTGAAAGACCTGTAATGACAAGAACTTTAAGTCTTTGAAGAAAGAAATTGAAGATATCAGAAAATGGAAAGCTCTCTCATGCTCTTAGATAGGTAGGATTAATATAGTAAAAATGGCAATCTTACCAAAAGCAATCTACAAATTCAATGCAATCCCCGTTAAAATCCCAACACAATTCTTCGCAGACCCAGGATAACCAAACCATCCTGTATAATAAAGGAACTTCTGGAAGCATCATCATCTCTGACTTCAAGCTCTATTATAGAACTACAGTAATGAAACCAGCTTGGTATTGGTATAAAAACACACAGATAGACCAAAATAATTAAGTTGAAGACTCTGATATTAATCCACACACCTATGAACACATGATCTTTGACAAAGAAGCTAAAATTATACAATGGAAAAAAGAAAGCATCTTCAACAAATGTTGCTGGCATAACTGGAGGTCAACACGCCAAAGATTGCAAACAGACCCATATCTATTGCCATGCACAAAACTCAAGTACAAATGGATCAAAGACCTCAGCATAAATCCATAAATCCAACACACTAAACTTGATAGAAAAGAAAGGGGGAAATAGCCTTGAATTCATTGGGACAGGAGACCACTTCCTAAATAAAACACCAGTAGCACAGACACTGAGAGCAACAATTAATAAATGGGACTTCCTGAAACTGAAAAATTTCTGAAAGGCAAAGGACACTGTCAACAAGACAAAATGGCAGCCAAGAACTTTGACAACCCCACATCTGACAAAGCGAGCTGACTCCAAAATATACAAAGAACTCAAGAAACTAGACATCAAAAGACCAAATAATCCAGCTAAAAATTGGGTACAAACCTAAATAAAGAATTCTCAACAGAAAAAACTCAAATGGCTGAAAGACATTTAAGGAAATGCACAAAATCCTTAGCCATCAGAGAAATGCAAATCAAAACAACTCTGAGATACCATCTTACACCTATCAGAATGGCTAAGACTAAAAACAATGATGACAACTTATGCTGGCGAGGATGTGGAGTAAAGGGAACAGTTATCTATTGTTGGTGGGAACGCAAATTTGTACAGCCATTTTAGAAATCATTTTCTCTGGAAAACGGGCACCAGTCTACCTTAAGATCCAGTAATTCCACTCTTAGGCATATACCCAAAGGATGCACATTCATACCACAAGGACATTTGCTCAACTATGTTCATAGCAGCATTATTTGTAATTAGTCAGAACCTGGAAATCCCCTATATGCCCCTCAAATGAAGAATGGATAAAGAAAATGTAGTACATTTACACAATGGAGTATTACTCAGTGGTAAAATGACATCTTGAAATTTGCAAGCAAATGGATAGAAAAAGAAAAAAAAAGCATACTGTAAGAGGTAACCCAGACCCAGAAAGACAAATATGGTATGTACTCACTCATAAGTGCATACTAGACATAAAGGATAACCAGTCTACAGTCTATAACCCCAAAGAACCTAGCTAAACAAAGAGGACCCTAAGAGAGACATACATGGATCTACTAGGAAAGGGAAAAAGACAAGCTCTCATGAATAAATTGGGAGCATGGGAGGAAGTGGGGAGGGGGAAGGGGAGAGAGGAGGAGAAAAGGGTTGTGGGAAGAACATGAGGGAATGGGATGGTCGAGTTGGAGGAAGAACAGAGAGGGAGAGCAAGGAAAAAATATCTTGATAGAGAGAGACAGAATGGGGCTAGCGAGAAACCTGGCACTAGGGAAATTTCCAGGAATACACAAGGATAACCCCAGATAAAACTCTAAGCAATAATGGAGAAGGTGCCTAAACTGGCCTTCCCTTATAATCAGATTGAGGACTACTGTAACTGTCAACATAGAACCTTCATCCAGTAACTGATGGAAGCAGATGCAGAGATCCACAACTAACCACTGGGCAGAGCTCCAGGAGTCCAGTGGAAGAGAGGGAGGAGCAATAATATGAGCAAAGGGATCATGACCATGATGGGGAAACCCACAGTAGGAGCTCACTGACCAGACTGACAGCTGGGGAACCTGCATGGGATGGAACTAGGTTCCTTGAATGCAGGTGACAGTGGACAGATTGTGTTTTTTGTGGGGCTCCTGGCTTTGGGTCCAGGATCTGGCTTTTTTGGAGCCTATTTCTTATGGAGAGATACCTTGCTCAGCCTAGACCAGGGTGGGGGTGGGGTGAGGGTGGGTATTAGTCCTGCCTGGACTTGCTGATGTGCTAGACTTTGTTGACTTACCATGGGAAACCTTACCCTCTCTGAGGTGGGGGCTGTGGGAGGAAGTGGGAGGAAGAGAGGGAACTAGGATTGGTATATAAGATAAAATAAAATAATAAAATGGAAAAAAAAAAGAAATTCCATAAACTGATATTTAAGTGGGCTGCTGATAGGCCAGCTTAACAAGCACAAAGATCTTCATAGAAGTCAGTGTACATTTAGAATACAAGTGTCCAGCAACACCAGAATACACATACTCTTAAAAAGTAATTCATGTAACCCAGGCTGGTCCAGAACTCACTATGGCGTGGAGGGTCACCTAGAACCAGTGATCTCTGGCTTCTATTTGTTGGTTTTCATGCTACAGATACAATAATGAGCTGATTCTCAGGGCTCAGTTATTGGTAGGGAAAGAGTAAAACATAGATTAAAAACACTTCCTAAATGGATTATTTTTCCTTTTATAAGTTGCTGGGTTATCTCCAAGAGATTTATTATTTCACACTGAGTCATCTAGTGACACAGATTAAAAAGCATCAGAAAGGTCACAGTTAACTGTTAGTGAACATCTACTTGGGATGAAATACAGGAAAGAAACTCTGCTTTGGTCAGGGTAGTAGTTGCAAAGGCATAAGTGAGGATGGACCAAAGAACAAGCTCTCTTCTTCCATGTAGCCAAAAGAACTCATCTATCTTACCACCTGACAGCTTACAAGTTCTATCAGGTCACAATAACCACACAGCTGTCTTTCCTGAAAGGTGGCAATATCTGACCGACTGCTTTAGGTAGATGAGAAGCATTCTTTTCCTTCAGTAAAGATCTTTACAAATCTTCCTGGCTAGCAGCCTCTAAGAGATGAGAATATCTACTAGAGAATCTCTCCCTTTCTGTGTTCAAGACTGTACAGATGGGCACCTTAGCATCTCTAGCTTCCAAAAGGACCCTTTCTGTACATCAAACGTACTACCCTCTAGTTGCTTTTATTCTTCAGATAAATCCATACACTGTGCAAACTGTTAATGACTGTAAGGTATCTGGGGCTGCTTGAAAGACTTGATATTTATCAAAATAGGAAAGAAAACTGTATCATGTTAACTTGACTGTGTACCAGTGAAACCTATATTAAATGTAAATATGCCCTGCAAGTTTGAAAAAGCTGTTTTATGTATTTAACATATTTTCTTGAACTTTATACTAAAGAAAAAAAATCCAAAAAAATGACAGTATCAGTTTCAAATGACTATAAACTAGCATCCTCTGTTTATATAAAGAACATAATATAAGCTATAAGCTCCTTGAAGATACTGTTTTATTCCTCACTTTTCAATTGTTAAACAACATAATTCTTTGCATATAAAACAGAACATAAATAATTTATATAAAATAATTTTTCTGCTTATTCATTTGTTATGTTCAATACAGCCTGTCTTTCCTTTCTCAATTCTGTTTAGTTTCTAAACTAAGAAAGATTATTTTAGCTGGAGGGTGGTGGAGCATGCCTTTAATCCCAGCCTTTGGGAGGCAGAGGCGGGAGAGTCACTGAGTTTGAGACCAGCCTGGTCTACAGAGAAGGAGGAAGAAGGAAAGTAGAGGACGAAGGGGAAGATCTTTATGCAGCAGTAATCAATAATGCTTGTCACTTAATTTAAAATTAGTTTTCTGTCTTAGTCTAATCTTAGGTTACACATTTAAATTTCCCTTGAAACATCTAAAAATAATACACTTCATACATTAGGTATGAAAGGATACATATGTAATTCTAGCACTCCAGAGACTGATATGTGGATAATGTACCTCATTATGGAAAACTATCATTTACATTAAGTTATAATTTTGGGTCAGCATATATTCAGAATTGATATACCAACAGAGAACATATGTTATCTAAAACAGTTACATCAAATCCAGAATTCATCTGGAATATATAGTAGAAATCTGCAAATATTCAAATTGAGAAGTCATTCAAATCATTTTTAACACTTTAACATTGGTAGAGTAAAAAATTCAATGTATAGTCAAATACAACTATAAACACCTACATATGACATGTTTTAAATTCCCCTTTTGAATGTTTGGTACAGAAATTTCTATTCAGATAATTTTGAACAATTTTGGAAGTTGGCTGGAGAAAGATTCAACCTAATACTATTTAACTTCCTGTTATAACAGATTTCTAGAAACTCCATGATCTCACATTATATGACATATTTTGGTTCATTAAGGTTTACCAACTCACAAACTGTATATAAAGAGCCATCAGTTTCTTAAAGTTCAGCTGAGAGAAAATGAACCAACCTATTCAGGGAAATACACTACAGGCCGACTTCCATTCTCAAATGATTCTAATTTTCTATTGTAATGTTCACATGAATGAATGTCTATAGCAAGCTGGAAAACAGCTCAATACACAAGACTGTGAATAGCTGATTCTAAACTTAAGGACTTTAAAGAAGTCTAATATAACCCTACTAATGCATCTGCCAGGAAATACTTTAGATACATGTATGTAGTCAATGCAGAGACTCACAGCTGGTCAACAGGTAAAGAACAATTGACGGCTGAGCGCTCAGCTTTAAACCAAGCTTGCAAATCACCCCACCCAAGGTTCAGGGAACACTGAGGAAAGGGGAGAGAAAGAACCAAGAGATGAATAACAGGGAGGAAGGTTTAAAACACAGTCATCATGACATTCAGGAAGTCAAAACAGCTGTGGCTGACTGTATGGGGCCTATACAAGAATGAACCAGAAAACAAATATCACAGAGAGGGAGGATTTCATGGGGCCCTACAGCACCCACGGGAGTTCATGGTAATCTAGGGCTGCTGGAAGAGAGGATGTCAGTTGTCTTCAGTGATGCAGCTACTGGTGAATCGTTCATACTCTAGGGGATAGATTCACTCCCATGCCCACAGTAGGGGTCATGATTAAATTCAGCGAGTCTCCAAACAAAGGCACAACAAAAGGACAGGAAAGTGGGGTAGGGACCTGATAGGTGGAAGGAGGCTAGGAGGAGAACAAGAAAGAGAGGAGGAATTCACCAGAATTTCTATTTATGTGCATAAAATTGTTAAAGAACAAATTGTTTTAAAAATGAAATAACACGTTTTATAAGAAAGGCTACTACTTAACAGTATTAAATCATACATTTTCACTGGATACCATGCATAATTGCAGTGTATACATTATAAACATATTTATAAATTATATATACTTGTAAACATGTGATAAGACTACCCATTAAATAAAATAAATCAAAATTATATTTTAGAATGTCCAGATATTGGAATTATTTACAATGTATACATTATAAATATGCTAAATTAATTTATTTTTTGAGACAGGGCCTCAAACTAGCTATGTAGCCAAGGATGACCTTGAACTCTGGATCTTCTTTGTCTCTACCTTCCAAATTTTGAAATTATAAACAGACGCCATCACATCTAGCACAGTATCTCTTAAAATGAAAAGATCTTTCTGATCTCAGTTAGACTATCAGACCAAAATCACTATTCAGTGAGTCTCCTATTTAAGAAAAAAAATCTTTTCTCAGAAAGGCTTTCAATAGAAGTCTCAAGGAGCAATGCTTGCATTCCATCCAAGCTAATGAATAATTTTTTTTAAACATAAGTAGACAGCATTGTACAATGATTATCAGGAGGCAGCTAGTAAATGGTAGGTAAGCTAACAGGGAACACACACTTGTTCAGCCCACACCTTCTCCATACCTCAAATTCAAGTTGGTTATATTTCTCATGCTGGAAAGTAAAAATAAAATTGATTTCCCAAGTAGAGGTAGGAAAATAAGTCTCTGATATTTATTGTGAGTTAATTTATCACATAATGGACACGAAGAAGAGCGGTGACAGAGACTTGTGGCAGACTTTTTGATGCTTACCTGATATGCCATTCTTGCTGGTGTTCAATAAAGCTACAGATGGTGCAGAAACTCTTTTACTGCTCACAGTCTGCCCTGGTTTTCTTGAGGTACATTCTTCATTATCAATGTCCTGTACATTTAGTAGCCTTGGCTGGAAACACTGTAGTCGACATGATCTGATATTGCTTAATATTTCAGAAAGGGACAGTCTATTTTCACAAGGTTTACTGGAAGCATTGGTCCGAGAGAAATAAGAAAAGTCTATATTTTGGGAAGAGCTTGAAGAACCATTCAGCATCTCAGGGTCTATCTGTTTCAGAACTGGGTCATGTTCTGTAGATATTCGGTCCATTATGACCCTGTAAAGCAAATAAGACATACATGTGTATATCATATATAAAATGCATAGCTGTTTCTCTTATCACATCACTTTCAGCTAGAAAATGAAAACAAGGTCAAGGTAGCTTACCTTCCTCCTCTGCCAATTCGCCTTCGTGCAAATCCTATACATCTTCTTGGAACTGTAAGTGTTGTAAGACAATGCTTATACCTCAACTTATCCAGATCTGCCAACTCTGAATTTTCACACGTATGGTTAGCTTGGTCCAAACGAGGCTGCAAGGAGAGAGAGAAAAAAATAACTCATACAGTAATTATGAAAGGAAGAAAAGTTAAATCATGATTAGAATAAAATGATTAGAGGTAGTATTAGGAGACAAAATAAAATTTAGACGAAAAACTGTAAAATTGGGGCTTAAATGTTTTAAAGTTAAAATTTATAAAATTAAATAGAAAGCTTTTTATTCAAATTACCTAAACTAAACTAAATTAAGTATGTATTTTAAAACCTTAAGTGTTTTAATATTTATTTATACATAGGGAATGAATGAATCATTAATTAGTACTTTTTCTATGCGATAAACTGGAGTGAATTTTTTCAAGAGGTTTGCTAGAGACAACTAAAAGTTGAAGTGTATGCGCAGGTTAAGAGGAAGCCTTTTCTTTACTCTTAAGGCATGTAGCGTTTATTTCTTGGCCTTTCCATTATACGTATCACCCTGTTTTTCTGTCTCACCACTTTGCCTTCCTTTTATAGTCGTCTTACCATCTTTTTTTTTTTTTTTTTTTTTTTTGGTTTTTCGAGACAGGGTTTCTCTGTATTGTTTTGGAGGCTATCGGTCCAGCCCAGCCTCGAACTCACAGAGATCCGCCTGCCTCTGCCTCCCGAGTGCTTATCAGCCTAACTTGAAAACAAATCCTCATCATTCCTACATTAACTCTACTCTCATAAAAGCTGTCTATCTGTGTACACCATAATGCAATCACATGGTTTCTATAACCATGTTAAAAGAGTAAGACCACCTTCACCACTCTGCAGTTACACATATGATAGAAAACTTTAGCATTGGAAAGTCAAGGTCATTTTCTTAACACTACATCCAAAATGGGACATTAATAACACAAAGATATTTCTTTTTTCTTTTTGTTTTGTTTTTTCAAGACAGGGTTTCTTTGTGTAGCCCTGGCTGTCCTGGAACTTGCTCTGCAGACCAAGCTGGCCTTGAACTCACAGGGATCCACCTGCCTCTGCCTCCAAGTGCATGTGCTTCTACTATCTAGCCATAAAGGTATTTATTTCTAAATGTGTCTGAAACTTACAGATACAATTAATGGACAATATTGGCATGAAAGAAGTTCATACTTACTGGGTATATATTCCCCCCCCCTCTCTCTCTCTCTCTCTCTCTCTCTCTCTCTCTCTCTCTCTCTCTCTCTATATATATATATATATATATATATATATATATATATATATTCCCTCCCTCCCTCCCTCCCTCCCTCCCTCCCTTCCTCCCTCCCTCCCTCCCTCCCTCCCTCCCTCTCTCTCTCTCACACATACACACACACAAATTTAGGGGCAAACCCAGAAATCACCAAAATTCAGAAGCCAACTTAGACATGTACAATTAATTTTCACAATTGCTAAAGCTTTAATTAAATCTCCAAATGAAGTAACTTTTAAAATATGAGTTGTCTATTTCCAAGTAAAGGATTTCTGATATAGTCTGAAAGAATTTGGCATCTTTTATTTACTTTTATTGGTATTCACACATTACAGGAGACATTAAATAAAAAAAATACTGATGAACTTCCCACTTTTAGACTCAGCCTAAGTTACCTTGACATGAATGATCTGTTAATTCCAGCTCACAAAAATATCACAAAAAACAAAAGTTCTTACAGCATAATACTGGCATCCTGCCCGTCTTCTGAAAGCACAGGGACCATCAGGATCATTTTCTTCTTCAGGTTCTGATGCTGGAGATGGTACCTGATAAAACAGGTGTTCCATTTAGCAGTTATCAAGTTAACAGAACAATGTACATAATGATCGAAAATAAAATCAGTTCACAAACACACATGCCTACATCCAGTGAGTACCTAATTTGCCCCAAATATTTAATAAATGGTAAATAATTTCTGTGGCTATAATTCTGTATTTTTAAGATTCATTCTTATATCTAAGTACACATGGTATTGTTTTCTTGTTTCTAAACATAAAGGTTAGTACAGTTTTTATATATCCCATTTATATAAAGTCATAAATTGTGCAGTCATAAATACTTATTGACAGTTATGCTTCACCTATAGGTAGTTGTATTTTTATTAGGAAACTTCTGTTTATAATAAAGTCAAATGCTCGGAAGAGAAGGCGTTGGATTCTTGGCAACCAGAGCTACAGGAGCTTTGAGGTGCTATGTAAGTACTGGAAGCAAACCCAGGTCCTCTTTAAGAGCAGCAAGTGATCTCAATCACTGAACAATCTCTCTAGCCCCTGAAATCCCTGCTTAAACATAGCAGGTCAGAAACAAAATCAGAAGACAGAAAGTATATAAACAGACTGGTTGCTGAGAGAGAGTTTAAGACCACAACAGTAGAGCAAAAGTATAAAGACTTGAGTTGCTACATTAAGAAGGATTTTGCCAGGACCAGATGCTACCAGCCAAATATTCTCATATAATCTGAAGGGGAACCCTAGGGCAGGACTGACCCACTAGAGCACAATTTATGTCATAAAAACAAGTTAAGTGATATGTAAAATATACTGACACATCAGAGAAACAATGAATAAAAATGTTCATTCTAATGGTTAAGTGCCATAAAAACCTTAGTACTTAAGTTTTAGTTGTCTTAAAAGTCTACTTTGCAGTGCATCTTTTTCTCACAAATGTCTGCTTAATCATATTTACTTGGTACTGTTTTGAACCCAAATCCCTTATTCCCTTTTAGAGAGGAATATTTTCCTTCCACATTAATCCCAAACTATGGTGATGACCATATAGCTGGATCACCTTGGGAAAAGGGCATTTGTTTGAGGTTCCAACATCCCTTCAATAGCTCATGGAAGAGAATGGCACAGCAAGCTGGGGTTAATCCATTTCCTGAGGTACCAACTCCCAAACTCAACACTATAAAGAAATCTTAACTTTTACATTTTGGTTCCTCTACAAGTATCTACCTCTTCTAATCCAGATAAAGAAGTGATACAAAGTGTCTGACAATTCTTGGCATGAAGCACTCCTTCCCAACTCTCTCTCCCTAGGGATGGACTCAAGCATGCACAGAAAGGTAGCAACATAGAGCGATGACAGGAGAACAGGAACTCTAATCAGAGCAAAGGGCTTCTTCCCAACCACAATCTGTTAGTCAGTCTGGTTACAATGCTTTCTTAAGGCTTATTTGCTCCTTGTCTAGTACACAACATGCTATTTCTTCCTATGTGTCCTGAAATCCACCCCTGGGGGAATTTACAAGAGCTATAGTCCAAATACCCATATTATTTAGTGATGTCAAGGTATAGGCAAGCAGTCCTCAGTAATGTGAAAATACCATAAAAATGAATAGTTGACTAAGGCTTAATAAAAGGTTCCAGAAAACTCTAAAAGTTGTAAAATGTGATTTTAATGTGGGAATGGAGGTTAGGGATTATGTGAATACATATAAAAATCTGAGCTGAAATAAAGATTCCTTAGTACACAAGGAATGTATGACAAACTATGCTGAGTGGGCGCTTATCTAAGGCAGTGGATGGAATAGCAATCAGGAAAACATCCCCCTTACTGTTATAGGAAGTATCTCATGCATCCTTTTTATAGAACAAGGAGCATATGCGAGACTTTCTAGGTTCTCACTAATACTGACAGGAAACTACTCTGCAAATTTTATGTGCATTTATTTAACTGTGTCATTTTCTGACTTAAGCTTTTAATAATTTCCCATGTGCCTACTATTCATACATCATCCCTTCCATCTTTTCCTCTTTCTTCTGTTTGACTCCAGCAATGCAAAAGTGCTCTCACAATGCTGAATCTCTCCTTGCAGAATCTCTGTTTCCTCTACCTGGAAGAAGTTGATAGATCCACTATTTGTTATGTTTCTCATTTCTTCAAAACAGTCATCCCAGACAAACTGGAAAATTCTTCTGACAAATGTAATGACCGCTTTCATTAAGTAGCTCTCAAGAACATATAAACATAAAGCACATTTTGTGCACTTATTAATACATATAAATGCCAGAATATTATTTAGGGGAGAAAACCCAAGTCAGTGACAGGGTAAAAAAACAATACAGCCACAGGAGGTGCATTTTTATGAACTGGAGTTTAAATGGCTGCAAAAATAAAAGGCTTTACAAGCAGTCCTGCTTTTAAAAGAAAATTGCTTTTAAGTAAACAAAATATTAAAATATGATAGTAGATTCAAGCTGTTACATTATTTTTCTTTTGAATGTTTTAGATCATATAGAAAAAAGAAAAACAGGTTATTGTCAGACCAAGTTAATTTGAAAAGTAATCTGATCCTTTAGTATATAAAAATAAAAACCTTGTTTTAAAAATGCCATTGATGAAATGAAATTAAATAATACTAAATACTTTGCTATGAAGCTATTGAATTTTTGACAAGGAATTTTTCATAAGTTGAAACTCCAATTAGTTCTTATAAATCTTCTTTAAAATGTCATTTACCTAACAAATAAATAAATTTACATTTAATATAAAAACCATTATGTTTGTAGAATATGACAGAAAGCAAACCGCTGGTAAGTATTTATACTCATGTTTAGATGTTTTCAAATACTGACATCGTGGACTCAGTAATGCTATTTCTAAAAGGCTACTTTACAAACAGGAAGACGACAAAGATGCTTGTTTTTATAAAAGGGGAAACCTGAAGCTAACTAACTGTCCCACAGAACACATCTCTATAGCTGACAGAAAATAACAGTAAATACTCTGAGTGGCAACATATGCGTGTATACATGTATACTTATGAAATATGTAGAAAATGTTTTGTTAACACTATGTGAGCGAAGCAGAAGCAAGACTAAAATGCCAATTACGTTGCAAAATACAGCAAATAAAAGAGTAGGAGGACATGTGTTTAAAACAGTTTCAAACAAGCACCTGTGGAAATTCATCTTCATCTGAGCTCTGAAAGTCATATTGCTTAATGTCACTCTTATTGATCACAGGCAATGTCTCAGGAGTGGGCTGCGGAGGAGCTATCACAGCCTCTGCCTTAGGCTTCTTTGGGTACTTCTTCTTTTGACGAACCACGTCAGAAGCCTCTTCTTTCAAAGACAAATGATGAGGGTGCTGTTTACGTGTCGGATTTTCCCCCAAAAGGAAGAAATGAAAATCATTTTAGAAATCATGAAAAACTATGCTGCTCTTTGAAAAACATACACTTTTCTTTAGGAGTTAATTTTAATTACTGTTTTAAGTATGAAAACTTTATTATGGTCATAAACTGAAACATGATTTAGATTTACTTTCTGAAATTTATAATGAAAAATAATTATGGTCTTTAAGTTTGATTTTTATGTATAGTTAAACTGTAATGTTTAGAGTGTTCTATTATCAAACCGTTCAGTGTTTTAAAGTGTTTAAATTTAATTCTTAGTTAAATCCACTGTGTTGGTGAACAAAATTCATTACTTTATTTTAAAAAATAGCTGAATTAGATCACAAACTTATTAATTTAGTTCTACACTTATTTCTAATTTAAAAAATGTCTACAGGTGGTAATCATTTAAGAAAAATAAGCTTATTTTTTACAAGATATAATTATTGCCTTGACTGAACAATAATCAAATGGCCCTCAAGTACCCCAGGGTTCTATGGAGTCCATCTGGCAAGGGACTGACTGAGGGGTTGGGCCTTCCTCCTTTTCACAAAGCAGAGACCTGGTTCTGATTTACATACTGGTTGGTTATGCTTTGATAAAGGTTAGCAGCCACTTTAAAAAATGCTGGAAATGACTGTTCTGACAACAAAGTAAAAACCTTAAAGGTATAAAATTATTAAGGAAATTATATATTGAATCATGTAGCCAAGACATTAAAATTACCTTAGAATGAGAAACAGTGTACATAACAGAAATGCTGTTTCAGGGTCAGATCATAGTGAAATATAAGCTGCTTGACAGAGATGGATAATTGGGCATAGACTATTAGATCAAAAGGAAAACTCCAAATTCTCAGCAATTTTCCATGTTTTAAGGTGGGATGAAAGAAAATTAAATGTAGTAACTCTGTGTGCAGGGTAAGACAACAATGTGTTACACTGTGTCTTTAAATATAATAGGCTATTGTTATTTACTTAGACAAGACTTAAAGTAAGATTCAATGTAATTCTGTCAATAATTATGGGTTAAAATTTTGTATCGCAATGCCTAGTAATCATACTCTTAGGAAACACTCTGACTGATACAAAGTAGATTAAAAATAGCTTTCAAAGTGACATTTTTTGTGCTGATAACTTTTTTGGGCTATCTTTATGAATGTGATTCAAAGGAAATCGGGTGGGTGGGCTAGATGCCTGTGATTAATAAGAACCTGCTGGTTGAACTGACATGAGTTGAATGAGGAGGAGTCACACTGCTCCACATTCTTCCTTGGTGTTTAAATATAATCCCATGAAAAACAATGTTTTTAAAAGATGAATTTTCCACAAACACCCCAAGTCACTTAAAAAATCTTACTGCAGAGTAAGCCTCTACTTACTGTTTAGATGCTTCAGGTCAATGCTTACTTAAATCTAAACTTCTTAAAATTAAAGACTCTATGAATTTTTGCATACTCAAATTAAACAATACTTGAATACAGCAAATGAGCACTAAATAAAAACAATTCTTTAACCTATAAATAAGATGTTCACCAAGGCCAGTTCTTTTAACTACACCATGGTCCAGAATGACTTTCTAAATAAAGTCAATCAAGGTATGTTACTGGCAAATGCTGGTTCTGGCAATGACCCTGTTCTCTAAAGAAGCAGACAGAACATCAAAACAAGGCACTTTGGTAGACATGAACTCAAACTTTAAGTGACACTTACTGGCTATGATCTAGAAGTCACAGAGGTAGTTTTTGAGGGGACTAATAGGTGTATACAAACACCTATCAAAGTGGTGGCATAATAATTAAAACAAAACAAAAACCAACATGCTATTTACTTTCTTCCTTTACCACCATATTATGGGATCAATATTACCACCCATGATTCTCTCCAAAGAATTATTTACCTTAGTTTTACATTCTTGAACTTTGTGATGGTTTCCATTATGAAGAGTTGCTGGTGTGGCATACAACTCTTTTTCTGATCTATTAACTTTCACTTCATTAAGAATTTCACCCCCATAGTCTCCCAGATGATATCTTGAAAAGAAAATGAAGTGTAAGAAAATAAAACAGAGTTTAATGATAAAGAAGAATATATTCAAAACTATGACATTTTAAGTAACTGAATGAGCAAAATAGAACTATTAATTTTGGGGGTTGGGAAGGGATAAGACAGCCTCAAGTGTCCAGATGCCCTCAAACTTGCTTCAACTCCTGATCCCCCCATGCCAACCTCAACTGCTGAAATTACAGGCATGTATCACCAAGCCTAGCTTTAGGATAGCAGATTGTTGTTAAAAGAAAAGTTACAGAATCCAAGTTTATAATGGAGACTCCGTTAAAAACACAACAAACAAGAACTTTAAAAATGCTTAAGGCATATAATACACAAATTTCTCAAATAATGTATTTTATCAAGCATATTGCTTAGAATGTTTACTTCAGCAATCACACAAAATTCCCTAAAACCCTAATGGAACGTCAGTCTATTTAATGCAGGAAAATACTCGTAGATCCTAACTCTGAGGAATAGAAACAGGAAATTTTGCCTTTCAACCATTCATTTCCTATAAATAGAGTTTAACAAAAACCAATATATGGAGAAATGGGCAAGACAATTCCTAGATTTTGTTAAGAAAAGTACAACGATTCTGCCAATATCTAAAAAGATCAAATCCCCCAAATGAATTCTAAACCGTAACAATCTAATTTTAAAAATAACTAGTAACTACAAATTTTAAAAGGGAGAAATGAAATTTTATTACGCAATCTCTATCTATGGTCACAAAGCCTGGCTATCACAGCCCTAGTATGAACAGTCACAATGTTACCTTTTCTCCACGACTTCCAGCGTTAAGTGCAATAATTCCCGTTTGGTTTTCTCTCTTCTCTTAATCATTTCCAAAATTGTTATGGCTCTGCTGAACTCCCGCCTCAGTTTCAGCATCTTTTCATAAGAGGCTTCATCATTCTTACGGTTCTTTTGAAATAATAACAATTTTAGAGAGTAATGAAATTATTCATGTTTCCAGTTTCATTTAACAACCTCTTACTAAATCTCAAGTTAGTAAGTTTTAAATTATTAAAACAAATGAACTAATACCCAAATAGCAATTCCACAAGAATTCATCTGTTTAACTTTGAAAATTCAAGTACAAGCAAATGTTCAGGGAAAATTTTTGTTTGATAACTAATGGTACAGAAAGAATAGTTCCAATGTAGAAAAAAATCCACCTGACACAAGACCTAGTATATAAAAACTATAAAGTCCTCCTTCTGCAGTAACATGTTATCCAATGATAAAAAACAGTTCTACCAAGATCAAGGTATATAAAAAAAATAGCCCACAAGAGTATCTAACCATGTCCAACCAAATCTATAGGTGGGAGCTAAAAGCTTCCCAACAATACAATATATTCAAGAACAATAACAAAACTTCACTTCTAGCAACTCAGAAAACTGAAAACAGTATACTGAGTATCTCAAGAAATGGGATTCTCTCTAGGAAACAAGGAGGACCCTAAGAGAGACATACATGGTCACCCGGAGAAAGGAAAAGGAACAAGATCTCCTGAGCAAATTAGGAACATGGGGGGAGGAGAGAAGGTTAGAAGAAAGAGAAGGGGAGAAGAGGAGGAGAGAGGAGGACATGAGAGAGCAGGATGACACCAACTAACAATCTAAGCAATAGTGGAGAGGCTACCTTAAATGGCCTTCCCCGATAATGAGATTGATGACTACCTAATATGCCTTCACCCAGTAGATGATGGAAGCAGAAGCAGACACCCACAGCTAAACACTGAATTGAACTCTAGGAATCCAGTTGCAGAGAGGGAGGAGTGATGAGCAAAGGGATCAAGACCAGGCTGGAGAAACCCACAGAAACAGCTGACCTGAACAACTGGGAGCTCATGGACCCCAGACTGATAGCTAGGAAACCAGCATAGGACTGATCCAGACCCCCTGAATGTGGGTGTCAGTGAAGAGACCTCAGCAATCCATGGGGCCTCTGGTAATAGGTAAGTATTTATCCCTGGCATACAAATGGACTTTGGGAGCCCATTCCACATAGAGGGATACTCTCTCAGCCTAGACACATGGGGGAGGACCTAGGCCCTGTTCCAAATGATATGACAGACTTTTAAGATCCCCCATGGAAGACATCACCCTCCCTGGGGAGCTGAAAGGGGACAGGGGACAGGGGTCAGGATGGAGGGAGTAAAGGAGGAGGGGAGGGAGAGGGAACTGGGATTGACATGTAAAACTAGCTTGTTTCTAATTTAAATGAAAAATAGAAAAAAAAAAAGAAATGGGATTCGCATGCTTCAACATTCACCTCATTTAAAGGGGAGAAAGATCTAGCAAAAACTTTAGACTTCAAATTATTACTAACTTCTTAGTTGTAAGCATAAAACATAACTTCAAATAAAAGATGACTTTGTTGTAATAAGCAGCATTCATCAGAATATAAAATCACCAATGATGTGTGCTTTAAGTCAAATGTGTTTAATTTATACAGAGCCATATTTAGACAGAACTCTAACACTTCTCAACTGTCAGACTGACCTACACTTAATCTTTTCATTCTTGAATTAACAATTGAATGTAATATTAGAAAGAATCTGAAGAATGCCAATGGTTTCATAATAGATTAAGAATGAAAATATAAAAGCCCTGAGTTTTATTTTTCCTTTTCTGCATTTGGAAAATAATCATTTACTGAATATCATAAATCATAATCCCTTATGGTACTGTATATGGAGTATTTTTAAATGCTAAGATATTATCTTATTTCACCAGAACAAAATTCACCTTTATCTCCCTCCACTGCATTAGCACACTGTGACAAAAGATAGTAGGTAGAGCACAGTTAAAAGCAATTAAGGAGGGTAGACAAGAAACAATAACTTCTAACTAAAAAAAAATCAACATGATCAACAGCAAACATTAAAATACCTTCTATTCTGCCAATACTATAAGTGCTTCCCACACATATATGTATACATATGAGACACAAAGCATCAAAAGATGAATATTCATGAGGCCACACCCACCTAACTTACTCTTCTAAATCTTTTCTTTGTGTCCACTCTACTCTTCAAAACATGATTTATTTTGAAATAATTTCAGACATATAAAGTTACAAAAATATAGCAAGAATGCTTTCCATGGATATCTAACTGGATCTCCCAAAGGTTTGAACTTTAACTAGCTTTTTATCTCTAGTTAGGTATATAAATATACATAATATTGACAGTATTTTCCAAATTTGAGATGAACAAATGTCCTTAAATATTCTAATATGCTTTTACAAAGTCAATGATGCCTTCACATAATCACAGCAGTGATCAAAATCTGGAAACAACAGAATATTAGAGACAGTATTTTTATTTTCAAAATTAATTATTTTGCAAGTTTGACTGTTTCTAGTTGTTATGCTTCTAATACTCCATTATTTGGAAAAGTTCTGTTTTTCTGGGTTCGTCATGATTCCATTTTTTAAATGAGGAGTATTTATTTTTGTAGTGTATTCCTCAATTTCAGTTTCACTGATGTTTTCCCATGATTATATTCAGGTTGCATGTTTTTGACACAACTACCACAGAAATGATACTCATACCCTATCAAGAGCTAGACAACACAATTTGTCCTATAACTGATGATTACTCAATTAAGATGGTGTCTGTTGGGTTTACCAACTAAAACATCATTTTCCCTTTTAAATTAACCTAGCATGCTGCATAATTACATAAACATTGTTTGTCATTAAATTTCCCTCATTAGTTTAATCGTTCTTTAACCTGAGATAATTATTAGCATTGTGGCTGCCAAAAGGTGAAGTTTAAACTGGTTTTGTTGATTTTTTAAAGTTTTGACATCTAAAGAAAAAGATGTAATGAATGAATAAAGAAAAAGTACATATGCATAGTGGAAATTTTTCAGCTATAAAAAAGAAATTATATTTTAAAGAAAATGGATAAAATTGGAGATCATTGTGTTATACGAACTAAGTCAAGACTCAGACAATACTACATTTTCCCCATTTGTAGAATCTAGATTTAAATTTGTATGTGCACAGATGTGTATATGTGTGGTCATGAAAACAGAAAGAGGATGAATAGATCTTGGAGGGGGGTATTAACACATGTGACATGGGCATAAGAGAAGACTGTCGTGGTCTGAAAGGGAGTGACACTATTAGAAGGTGTGGCCTTGTTGGAAGAAGTGTGTCACTGTGGGGGTAGACTTTGAGGTCTCTTTTGTTCAAGCTTCCCTCAGTGTGACTGTTAGTTGACTTCCTGTTGCCTGCAAGATATAGTAGGACTCTCATCTCCTTTGGTACCACGTCTGCCTGCACACTGCCGTGCTCCCTACCATGATAACAAAGTGACCCTCTGAAACTGCAAGCTAGCCCCTTCAATCAAATGTTTTCCTTGTAAGAGTTGCTGTTGTCATGGTGTCTCTTCACAGCAATACTATCTGCAGGTGTTAAGAAGACAGCAGGTGGAGACCAGTGTTTGGAATGGGAGAGGACAGCATAGACATATATGAAACCCATCACTTTGAGTACTGACTTAAAAACATTTATGTGTTCTCATTCTCTATCTCAACTTCACATTTATCCATGTATGGGGCTCATGGACTATTCTGAGTTATGATTCATATTTGATGCTTAAACTTTCCCAGCTGCCTTCAGGTCGGCTCCTGTGCCCAATATGGTTCCAACGTTCTCATCTTTTTGCATAGCAGAATCCTTCTCCCAGGAGTGTCTTTATACTTCCTCAACATTAAAAACAACAGGTTCACACTAATACTGTTTCTATTCTCTTCTAATGGCCTTACTGTGGTAGTATCTTGCTTGTACAAATAAAGTCTGTCTGAAGATCAGAGGACAGAATGTGCCAATAGGTAGCCATAGAGGTCTGGAGATCTGTACAGTTAGACAGGAAGTGAGATGACTGGGCAGAGTGAGGATGCAAGTGGGAAGAAACAGAAACTTGCTCTCTTGTTCGCTGAGATAAAGGTAAAGGTGGCTTTGGCTTGCTCCTTCTCTCTGATCTCTCAGCATTTTCCTCTATATCTGACTCTGATTTTTATTGTTTAGACCAATTAAGAACTCCCTTTTACACCTTATTCTCTAGTTTCTAACAATCTTTATGCCTTTTTATAACTGTCTCTGCTCTGGGCCAACTCATGTTTCTTTTAAAAAACTTTTTCATTTATGTTTAATTTTATCTTAATGATATATGTATGCAGCTACGTGTATATGAGCGAGTGCAGGTGCCCACAGAAGCCACAGGTGTTGAGTCACACTGGAGCTGAAATTATGAGCTGTAAACCAAACTTAGGTCTTCTCTACGAAAAGCCAGTGTTCTTAACTGCTCCATCCATTCAGCTCCTCAGGATTAACTCTTCTTCTCATTGCGGCTATATATTATACTTCTGTACCTACCATCAAATCCCTAGGAAGTGATTTTCAAACTATTGTCATTTGGAGTCAATTGCAGATCTTTTTGTCATGAAAGATGATTCACAGGTGATTGATGTGCACAGGCAGAACTGAGAACCCGGGGGCTTCCGTTCCCACACAATTACTTTTTCTGAGTCAGAGGTAGACAGATGGCACAGGCAATAAATAAGACTGCATCTATGTAGTTAGCATATTAAATACTCATGCTGATTAGGGCTTTCTAACCAGTACATTCAGAGAAGATTATCTGGTGTAAAAATGTCCTAAATATCCAACTTAATTTTAGTTCAGTGAGTTATAGTTAAATTCTAGACTGCCATGTAAACAATAGTCCTTCTAGCCTGTGCACAAGCTTAAGTGTTTTTAAGTTTAATGAGGCAAAGAACGGAAACAGGGTATTGTCTCTGCATGCCCCATCCTGCCCTCCTCCTCTATATCTAGTGTGCAATGTGGAGCACTTTCCCATCTTTCTAATTTTGAAACACAGTAAACGTTTGTTAATAGCACACAGTGCATGGCAGAGATAATCCATTTCGTCTACAATTGAAGAGAAGAATGAAAAACAAAGAGTACTGAAAAGGAAAATGCAGTACCATGGAAAGGAAAGTGAAAATAATGAGCTAGACAAAAGGCAAGAAGCAACATTAGGAAAAATTGGTATTGGTGATTGTGGGGGTGGTGACATGCCTAGTTTAAGAAACAGTTACCAGTAAGTGATTCTCATAATACATTGCTAAAAAAGAATAAAGTTTAACTTTTACAACCTGAATATAACTTAAAAGCAAATAAATCATCAATTTCAAGGATTTCACATCTACTCACTCAAAGTAGCACAGTACTACTTTCCCTCCCAAAAAGATTACTAATGGCCATGTTTATAATGTAAGCCAACTGATGATACTGCTTTTAAACGGCAACTGGTAGTTTGGATTTCCAATGTTGGCAAGTCCCTTTCTTCACAGCCAGTCCACAGTTACTGTGTTCACAAACTTAGCTCATCTTAATCTTTTTAACTAAGATGTTACAACCTCAAAATCCTTGATTCTTCTCAGTTCAGACTAAACTGAGAAATAGGTCTGTGCTAGTGACAGCTATATATTCTTGGGAAATCCATTCTTTCATGTTTAGGAAAATCACATTCATAATAAAGACTAATACAAAAATTCTAGTTTATTAGCTAATAGGAGAGTTTTTCCTAAAACATACAAATCCCTGCATCTGCTATACTTCACAGCTGTTAGTGTAACAGCTGACAAAGATAAGCTTTCAATATTAGCAGAAACAATAATCCACAGAAAATGCTACATTCCACATTATAATTCTTCAGCTTTTAACTTCAGTGTTCCTGTTTCCTTGTGAGGTTAACAGAATATGATACCATGCATAGTATTCATTGTTTCTTATGATAAATGCAAGCCAGCGAACAATCCCCTGGAACAATGCTTCCATTTTATCCTATGTCATATCATTCCACAGCATGAAATTTTATTTCTCTTAAATTCTGGCTCACACTTTTGGAATTCAGATGTAAACATGTCTGTCAATTTGAAATCTGACACAACTGACAATTAAGAAAGTGGGAAAAAGATGCCACTACTACTTCTGGTGATTTCCAGAGCAGGTTTGAAAAAGAACTCTTCTTGCTTCCTTCAAGACCATAAACTTAGAGACAACAAGACAATTTTCATTTGCAAGAACAAGAATACCATTTCAAAACACCTCAGTAACCGACAAGCAAAAGTCATGTTCAGATGCTTAGCTTCTTAAATAGAAGAGATTCATGAGTGCATGTATAGTTCACTGAGGAACTCAAAACCTGTGAGCACATAGAACTCTACCTACAGTTACAACTCCAAGTCTAAACTAGTTACTGACAGACTGCTAAGGCAAGCATAACAAATACTGTAAACACATGGCCAAAAGAACAACTGAAAGTAGGTTTTCAGGGCATCGGTGTCACTGTGTTCAAATGATGAATGATAGTAAACACTATCAAGCTACATTCAATCAGATACAATGCGGACATTACCTTCCGAGTCTGCATTTTCTCTGTTCTCCTCCGAAATGCAACGTAAGGATCATTGTTAGTAGAGCCATCTCTCTTCTCTTGCTTAATCTGGGGGATGAGTGATGGCCCCCTGCAGTTTTTCCGTTTTCTCACCCAGTAGTCATATACAGCTTTAATAAGGTAATCGTCTTCATTTAGCAGCAGTTTTGCTTCTTGAAGTGTTACAAGCTAAACAGAAAGCACAAGACGTCACCAAGAGCAAAAATGAGAAAGAAATCAGATTAAGCTACAGCAACTGGAGAAAATGTGATCCATTTAAATAATTACACTTAGATAGTGGTGTGGCTGGTGAAGACCTAGTTCTATTTACTCTAGCAAAAAGATTCAGAAGTTGGGATGTTATTTTTAAAAATCAGTTATTTTGCCCAGGGAAGTAATACTATTTAAAATATTGATAAGAGGCTGGGGAGATGGGGTTCAGTGAGGAACTACAACTAAAAAGGTGGAGAGTCACTGAAGAAGAAAGCAGGTGCTAACCTCTGGACCACACACAAGCATGCATGCACGCATGCAAGTATTTAATGAAGTTGGATGAGTGATACTTGGAAAGACTACCACTGATATATTTTGTGTAAATGCTGGGGTAGAAGATACCTACAAGCCTTCAAACTTTCTGTATTAGAAGATTCTACTCCATTTGAAGTTGACTAGTTACAAGTTTATTAGCATCTATCTGTTTCATTTTGAGTAGAAACTAGAAGATAAGAATTTCTTTTTATCCACTTTTAAAATATACTGTAACTCATTATCACTATTTTGAAACTGATAAATAAAAGGACAGGTTTCAACATTATGCAATTTTGAACCCCTTATATGAAATACATATAAAAGTAACCACACTAGTTTAGCTGGCTAATGCTAGAAAATTTTTATTCTCAATACCCCCTGGTTCAAGATACTGTCAAATAATGCTGATGTACCTCAAAATAAAATGTATGAAAATTTGTTTAATCATATCCACTGCCTTGCTGCTTGAGAAGGTCAGACCAGTCACTTTTTAGCAGGATGTAATGTGGGTGTCTGTTACTTACAATGAACTCTAAATTATAGAAAACTATCATAGAAATTTAAAACTGGGACGCCTTGCTGAAGTGATGCCACCCAAGCCACTTTAGAGAAGAGCCATTTGTCACAAGTTGAGACAGAACCTAAGACATATTCCATACAAATCAGAAATAAGTATAAAAATTTCTTACTAAAATTATGCACTGATTAATGTTATATAAAGTCTGAAAAAGACACGACTCAATAAATTTCTCAAGTGAGTTACAGAATAAATGTACTGATCACTGAACTCCCCAAATCTCTATCTATGTAGTGACTTTTTCAGTTGACTAATTGATCTGTTATAATTTGGCTGCCCTGACACACACACACATCCTCCTCTCTTCCTATGCTACAACTGGAAGTCTAAACTAATTATGTTCAAGTTGCTAGGACAGGCAAAATAAATACTGTAAACACACGGTTAAAAGATCAAATGAAGAATAGGCTTTCAGCAGGTCATCAATGTCACTGTGTCCAAAGACTAATAATGACAGTAAACACTACCAAGTTCTATTCAATCAAACCATTAAAACCTTTCTGCAGCACTTCAAGGCTTCCCAGCCTTAAAAATGACATGATCTTTTTCTAATTTAGAGTTCATTGAAAGCAACTTACACAACCACTATATGCTGCTAAAATGCTAACTGACTGGTCTGATCTTCTCAAGAAATAAGGCAATGTGTTTTATTAAGCAAATTTTATACATTTTATTTTGAGGTACATCAGCATTATGCTGGCTGAATTCACAAAGGAGAAATAAACCCTTTAATGCCTATGTCAGAGCTCTTATGGAAAGCATTTGTCACAGACATAATAGCATCTTAAACCAGGGGAGTGTTATTGGGTTTACTTTTATATATGCAATTCATACAAGGAAGAGAATATACTGATAATTCACCTCATGTATTCTAGTCCACATGACGACTAAGTATAAAAAAAGGACTAGTATTTCTAACCACGATCTTTTCTTAAAATTATTTTTAAAATTATGCTTATTTAACTCATCTGAATGTATATAAGTGCAGGCCTGTGCATGCCACAGCTCCTGTGTAGAGGCAGAGGACAGTTTTCAGGAGTAGATCTCAACTTCTATCTTGCTGAGGCGGGGTCTTATTTCTGCTACTGCACTGTGAACTCTAGGTTAGCTTACACGTGAACTGCTAAGCGATTCTCCTCTCTCTCTCTCTCTCTACCTGCCATCCTATGAGTACTAGGATTACAGATTTAGGCCACTGAATCCGACTTTTTGTATGAGTTCTGAGAACTGAATTCAGGCCTTCAGGCTTACTGTTGCTTTTACCTGCTATCTTATCGTCCTGACCCTCTAAACACAATCTTAGGTAGCTTCAAATTATTAAAGGTTCTTGCAATGGTAATATAGATTACTAAAGTCTGCAAAAAACAGGACTAGAACAAGAACTGAACTTTCTGTCTGATTTCTTTTTTGCACATCTATGTGCCCTTGGGAGGGTGTAGTAAATTGAATTCAGGCCCTAAGACAGGCTAGATGAGCACTCATCTACTGACCTACACAATTATAGTTCAGGACAGACTTCCTGAAATTCTAACCTCATACTGACATCACAGCATCTTTGGCAGCTCTTGTATTCTAGAGGCCAGGAAAAACAATGCTATGCTATGCTATGCTATGCTATGCTATGCTATGCTGCATTTGTGTCAGCTGTTTGATCATTGTGTTGCTGATATTATTTTTGCAATCTTTGCTAATTAAGTCAAGAACTTAGTCTAATTTTAGAGTGAGGAGGAGAACAAGAGCTCTTTTCCAGTCAGCAGAGCACTAGTGAGATTCTTATCCCACACCACACTGTGACTACTTCCTATGCCCCTGCATGTGCCAGAGGACTAAATGACTTCCATTTACCCTCCTTTCTGGTGCTCTTTGCTCCAGGTTGCAATGTCTTTTTTGTCTCCCGAAATATCCTATATTACAACTAATAATTTAACATATAATTTATAGTTAAATATTGTGACACTTTTCCAATGTCAGCTATATTTACCAAAAATCAAAACCCCATGACATTTATCTGCTGGCTTGTTTGCTTATGTGTAGTCCTGGTTTACATTCTGCCTCAGCTCCTGTGCTACCATTACAGACAGGCATGATTATGCTGGGCTTTTTCTACCACTTTGAAATAATTTTTAAAAACTCTGTCACTTAGCATGCGTTTTATTTACTAAAAAGCAGTAGAAGCCAATAATGACTGGAGAAAAGGTCTGTAGTAAATGTGTTACTTCTGAGACAGCTTTCGGCTGTTTGGTCCTCTGGGCATCAAGAGACAGGAGATGCTCCTTACCATTGTGCTTTCCTTCCAGACCACTACAAGCTCTGTGGTACCAAGGACCACTTAGATTGCTGACAGACAAAAACCCCAGGCCTTGCAATGCCAATATATTTTGAATAAATAAATGAATTACAAAAGAAAATTTAAAGGTTTTTAAAAAATTATTTACAGAAGTCAATTAGGCAAAAGGGAAATATTATCAGCTCACCATTAGCTGTGGAGAAAGGGAAAATAAACTAAGTTACATTCTCTAGCTAAAGAAACTCATAAAATGGAAACAAAATCAAGGCAAACAAAAAGCTGAAAGAGAATCTGGGAACTTTAGGATAGAGTATGGGTGAAATCAGATATAGGCAGAGTACAGAAACTCTTCACCTGAGAGAACTTGCATTTCTTTTCTGTGAGAGTGACTCTGCTATAGACCATCTTTGTCTTACCTTTCCTCTTTCAAATCTGCTGGTTTACAAATAATTGTAATCATCTACATTACAGTGTTAAATGGTACTTTTTCGCCTGATGTTCTTCAAGAATGAGTAACAACAGTTGGTTTACAATGGACATAGTGAAGGAGTGACATGATTTTATGTAGATAACACAATGAACATTTTTACTTATCAAACAACTCCGGATTTACAGTGCCACACAAGTATGGAAAGCCAATGTGAGGAAAAAAAATATCAGCATTCAATTAAGCAGAAATATACACTGTAACACAATGAGTATTCTACATGTATTAAATTGAAGAAAAAGCATTACTTTTATCAAGGGCCCAGAAAATGGAAAAGGTTTTCAAACTATAGTATTGAAGATTTGATAGAATCACAAAATCTCAGAGACAGAATCCTCGAAAAAGCATTGTCATATCAGCCATGTACTATTTTTCAAAGGACATGTGTCCAAATAAAAAAGACTTCAGTTTCAATTCTAAGCCTATTAATGCCACAGCTAAATAACATAATATGGTCCTTGTTCATAGGGAACCAAAACTAATCCATTAAAATTCATACAATTGCCAAGCCTAGTGGCAAACACCATAATCTCAACAGTTAGGAGGTAGGCATGAGGATTAGGAGCACCAGGCTAGCCAGATCTACATGAGAACCCTGTCTCAAAACAAGAAACCAACTAGTCAAACAAATAAGCAAACAAAGAAACAAAGCACACTATTCCACTTATCTCCCTATTTGAGATAATTACTAAAGAAATATCTGTGAACCCATTCTTTCATTCAAAGCTTTCACTACAGTTTTCGTTTAGGAAAAAATTTTCCCTAGCCACATACTGAAAAAACTGCTGATGTGCTAAAACCAACCTCTGCAGCAATGTGAACAACACTGGTTTTCCAGTGATACAAAGTTAAAACAAACCTGGGTATACCAATACTTTGAGCTGTACTGGAAATTATAAACACTAGACTTGAGTTACTGAGGAGTTGGGAAGATAGCTCTGCTGCTCTCCTGTGGACCCTAGTTTGTTTCCCAGTGCTGGCATGGCGGATCACAACCACCCCTAACTCCAGTTCCAGTTGATCCAACACCCTCTTATGTCTGCAGGCACCAGGTACATGCATGGTGCACAAACTAACATGCAAGCAACACTCTGTGCTCATAAAATTTTAAATTTGTCTCTTTCATTGATTTGATAACATATATGTACTAAAACTATCACAGCATTTAATGCGACTATTTAAAAACTGCTTTTTGGAAACCAGAGAGGACCAGACAACAAAATAGCCCTTTATCAACATGTTTTTCTTGAAAAAGAACTATTTAACTATTCAGGAGGCTCTAGGAATCGTCCCAGGAAGATGCCACAGCTCTAGCTGCCCTAGTATTTCTAATCTTATAGATTTTGGCAGGAATCTAGCACCAGAAAAACAGAACTGATGAAAATCCTGGAACTTCATTATAGATTTTGGCTGAGTGGAAGAGCCAGGATAGAAGTTAATGTGGCTACTTTTTCAGGCTTTGGTGATGATAGACATTAAGCAACTGTGAAATGTTTAGTAAAAAACCATCACACTGGGATTTAAGACTATTGTTTATTAAAACCACAGTATTGGAAATGCAGACTTGGCCTTCTAGGCAAAGGACACAGGGCATTGGGGGATCAGAGAGGAGTTGTATATGTGGAGTCTGATGGAAGACCGTCTTTAGCAAAAACCATCTAACATTTTTTTTCTTTTTCTTAAAGAAAGGTTTTTAATAAAGTGACTAGCAGAACAGAAGCACAGATGAGAGACAAAAAAATGGAAGAGGTAGAAAAGACAATATGATACTTTGAACAAAATCACTGATTTCATTTAGTGTATACTTGGTTGTTGATGGTTATAAAGAGGCCAATCATTAAGTACAATGCTGGTCAACTGGATGAAAGACAATGCCCTTAATGTAGAAAGAAAGGGAGATCTAAAGAATGGATTTGGGGAGGGGGGGGTTGAAAAACGATGAATTTGAGAATTCTGCTATGTTAGAAATGTTTTAGAGCTTAGCAGGTACAAACAGAATTGAGGGTCAGCAAGGAAATGAGGATAGAGAAATAAAACCAGAAGGGATAAAGCTGTTTAAGAATAACCCTGGAGACAGTTTTAAGATAAAGAGAAGAACTTAGTAGTAGTGAAATTTTTTACCATGCACAAGGACCTGGGATCAATCTCTTGTACTACAGAGGGAAAAAGGATAGGTGAACACAGCAACTGGTAACAGGTCTCAGAAATCACTTCATTGCCATGATCTTCAGACAGAAGCAGAAACTTTGCACCTCTTTTTATGGTTTTCCCTGTATTAACCTAATAAATACTAGTTTACTACAAACTCAATCCTCTGCCCTGTGATACCATGCCAGCCCCCAAAAGGTAAAATAAGAATTAATGGATCAGGGAGCTAGGAGGAGGACAGCCAGCCTTTTGGGGCCTGTAAATCCTTAATTCTGCTGACAGGATCTTATCTCAGTCATCTGATGACAGTGCTGTCATTATTTCTTCAGTGCTATCATGTCTTCTAGCAACTCATCTGAAGGCCTAGAATCTCATTCCCAAGCAAAGAGAAAAAAGATGGCACTGAGCACGTGTACATCGTGAACTGCCAGGTGTGTGCCCTTTTGTTTACCCTGCTCCTACTTGAATAATAAGCTGCACAAAGGTAGAGTTTGTTCATCTGTCTCATTCAGTGTTATCAATTTTTTGCCTAGACAACAAGAAAGTAAGTCATTCATTCAACAGGGAACACAAGATTTTTGATGCTATTATCTCAGCCATACCAAGTGGATTTATAAGCCATTATAGAAAACAGAATAAATTCCAAAGGACTAGCCCAGCCTAGATTTTCTGGGAACATTTGTACATGAAAGGACCCCAGAAACTGTTTGATACCAGTGGATATAAACTCAGGGCAAACTGTGAACACCTCTTAAAACATGGTCTCATATCTTCTAGGCTAGTCTTAAATTTGCAATGCTGTCAATCCTTGAATCTGTAATACTTGTGACTACCTCTGAAAAGCCAGGGTTACAGGCACATGACACCACACCTTGTTATATGGCAGTACTAGGGATCAAATTCTAGGCCTTGAGCATGCTTGGCAATCACTTTACCAATTGAGATTCAGCTCTAGTCTCAAAGTATGCTTCTTTTGATAGAACACTAGGTATTATTTCAATCAAAACAAGGATAAGATTGGCTAACAGTACAGGCAAGTACTTTTCCAATGGAAAGGCTATGAAATGTTATAAAGAGCTGATAATACCTTAGAGCAGTGGTTCTCAACCTTCCTAAAGCTTTGACCCTGTAATACAGTTCCTCATGTTATGGTGAGCCCCAACCATAAAATTATTATTACTGCTTTGTAACTGTAATTTTGCTACTGTTATAAACTGCAATGTAAATATCTAATACATGGGGCATCTAATATTCAACCCCCAAACAGGACATGTCCCATAGGTTGAGAACTGCCTCCTTAGAGATTTAAAGAATTTAAGTTGTAAGGGGAATTAATTTTATAGGTAAACTGGTGAGAAAAATAAGAACCTATTGTATAGTTTATTTGCAATTTTGTTACCCTAGCTTCCTTATAAATTAGCAAATTAATATACCACACAGGTACACCAAAAGTAATTTTTAAAATAGTTCATTTAAATATCTGGTTATGCAACAACAACCCTTTATTATAGAAAGCTTGTAAGACAAAAAATAGCATAAAGAATACAAAAATCCCCAATAAATTCAGCATCCAAATACAACCATTGTTGGTATTGTGCTGTATCTTCTTTTTCTAAATGTAAATGTGCTTTATCTAAACCTCGGTTTTCTCAGTAAATTCTATATCCTGTTTTCAAAACTTAGTATCATGTAATAAACAATGTCCTATGGTATTAGTCACTTACAAACTCATTATTATAATGCCTGTATTATAAACCATCACACAAGCAAATGTCTCTCTTAATTGTGTTGGGCAAGGGAGATGGTAACTGATCTTACACATGTTTAGACACTTAAAACCTCCTGACAAGTGCCATTGAATTCTTTCTAGGAAGGCAGTTACTATCTTAAATCCCTTGAGAGATTTTTGAAACAGCTCGCTAAAGAAAATTCTTGATTACTTTGTGAATACTTTTCTGTAACTCAGCATTTTGAGTTATTAAAACTTAAAACTCATTAAACATAGTGGAAACTTAAAATAAATTTGGGTAGCTGAACAAGATTTAAGACAAGTATCTCAGAAACCCAACTAAACAAAATTAGCTACTGAGATATCAAGAACACAGCAACTATGCAAAGGATCAAGGCACCATAACACTATTCTACCATATGGGAAAAAGTCAGAACATTATTCTCTATGTTCCTATTCAGAAAAGGAAGAAGTATGTGGCTCATACAGAAATTCTAGGGTTTAAAAACAAAAGGAAAGAAATTCAACAAACATTAAATGCAGTACATTCAGACAATATAGTTAGATGAGGAGATGCAAAGGTATTAACTGGGTTAACTATAAAGAAACACTTTTGCATGGTACAGTACCTGGTTAGAACTGGCTTTCTCCAGTCTGTCAATCATAATTTCAAATTGCAAAGGCTTAATTTCCATCTTTCTGTTAAGTCTATTTAATAATGTCTCATCTTCTGAATCCATATCATAATCTGGTTGCTCGTTGTCTAGGTTAAAAGCTAGAAGAAAAAAAAGAATAATTCTTCAAACTGAGTTGAAATTATGAAGTTATACCCACAAAACTTAGTTTGAAACTATGCAAAGGCAGGCATATTGTTCTACACATGATTTAAAGTTTGACAGAATAAAAACATCAACTGAGAAAGTATTTTTTAAAGTATCCCCAAAATATAAAATCATAGTTATAACAGAGATGCACACGCTAGTGTGGTAACATAGGAACTATGAAAGAACATTAAAAACCCATAATTAAGCTTAGCATACAGCATATAATGCAAATTGATGAAGATAAGATGTAAAATAAAACTATTTTTAACGGTGTTAGAATGGCAGGCTAGTAACAAAACAAATTAAGGCTAATTCCTACTCTTACTATAAAGCTGATAATGACATATCTCATAATATTTTTAAAAATCCAGATACACTAAAATGCAAGAAAAAATTGCAAAAGGAAAATATATGGATAGTTTTAAATTCAAACACCATAAAAACTAACTTAAAATACTTGACTATATAAAAATTTAAATTTCTACATGTAAAATTTTATAAATCAACAAAGAGCTAAGGGGAAAGGAACACATAAAGGACCACTTATGATTTCTCAGAAATGTAAGAAAAAAAACTGATACCTTAAAAAAAATTGGCAAGGAATTTTTGGTGGAGAATAAATACCAATGGATGTTTATATATGCAAATTAGGCAGACAGACACAGATCTAAAAGTTGATATGAAGCTATTTGGGAATGTGAGGAGGAAATTGTAAGATGGTATTTATGCTCTCTGACTTGGTAATTCGGTAACTTTTAAATTTACATAGAAAAACTACGTAAAGGATGGTAGTGACACCATGAGAATTTAAAAAATGCAAAATAAGAGGTCTGTAGAGGAAGAGAAATGACTGTGTGTACATGCTAGAATGTTAACCAAAGCCCAGGGTGGCAATGGGCTGTGAGCACTCACGATGGGGGTGAAGCTGTACAGCGTGAGGCAGAAGGACAAGGTGGAGACAGGACACCGCTAGGTATATGTACATATGCTTTAAGTGCAGAATACTTTGAAGGGAAAAAGAAGAAACTGCTGATAATTCTCTACTTCTGCTCAGGAGGGGCTATCAGGACAGGAGTTTAAGAATGGAAAAAGGAATACCAATTTTCTGTCTGATATGCACTCTTGAACATTTAAAAATGTCTACATCTTTACTGAAAAAGCTAAATTGCACAAATGCATATTAAAAATACGTGGTAAGAGTTTAGAACAAAGCAGTTAAAAAAAAACAACACACCAGTCACCAGAGTGCTGGTTATTTAATGCTGCCTGCATATGAAGGTGGACCCATACGTAACTATCCTCCATACCTGTACAGTTCACAGATTCAAGCATGAAATTTTTTTTTTTTCTCAAGACAGGGTTTCTCTGTGGCTTTGGAGGCTGTCCTGGAACTAGCTCTGTAGACCTGGCTGGTCTCCAACTCACAGAGATCCTCCGGTCTCCTGAGTGCTGGGATTAAAGGTGTGCGCCACCCCTGGCTGGCTCAAGCATGACATTCTTAAGGGTAATTCCCAATAGTGACAAGAGAAACAGGTGTATGTTTATTAACTTTAGTAAAACCAGTTACTACAGGTAAGATATGAACTCTAATTCATTCTTTAAAATATTTTACCATAAAACAACAATAAAAATAAATGTTAGCCAATATTTAGATACACTTTTATGCCAATTACTATAGGTCAGGTAATGGCTAATGTGCATTATGCCTACTAAGCTGACTGTCTAACCCTCTCTATGTAGTAGATATTTTATGTCCCAATGAGTCTCAGATTCTGAAATTTCATAATGCTAGTGTATTTAACTTATACTGCATCCTACACAATGAAGCTAGAAAGTCAGGAGTTCTATTGGTGAACTTACAACATATTATTTTATACTTATGATTGTTTTAAATATATACTTGAAAGTTTTCAAATGTCATTTTTAGTCTTTTATAATTATTTTTAATTACATGACTATCACTTATTCACAAGAATGTTTTCAAAAAGTCAATCCTATCCATATCAAACTCAATGAGAGACATTATAGAGCTTAAATTACTAATTTCTTCCATAAAGAAATGTTTTTAATAGCTGCACACGATGAACACCTTTAGTATGCAGACTAATAACAACCAGGAAGCTGATACAAATAGAAGCTATTTTAAAGAAAGACTTTCCTAACTGCTAAGCAGCATTAACCCAATAGGTTACTTCCCACAGTAAACGGAAATTCCCAAAAGTTCAAGGGCAAAGCTATACATAAAATTTGCACGATCATCTTGCCACACCTACCTAATCTTACTCACCTCTTGTTCCTCCACCTCCTATCTGCTCTATCTTCTTACTCTAGTCTGACAAAAGCCAGCACCCCATTTGTGAGGCAGGGGAAAGGACAAGAAAAGCTGGGAAATAGTTTAGAAAAATTAATGGTGAGAATTGACAGATCTGACAATAGGCTAAATTAGAATCAGGGCAAAGACTAGCTTAAACTCGCACTATAATTATTCTAGCACTACCTTTCCCCCTTTTATTTGAAAACTATACAAGCATCTTTAGAGACTCAGACTTGCTGCTGTTTCCAACCCAGGCACAGGTGTTTCAGCATTCTGTTTCCCTCATATATGGGTTCTTTATGTTATCATATAAAAAGGCAGACTCTCCTGTGGAAGCTGTCACTGCTTTCATCGTACTTATATACCTCTACAGAGAACTTGGGGAAAGTGAGTATTAAATGCCATTGGCTAAAACAAGCATTTGTTAAATATGGTATAAGAGGCTCTTTTAAACTATAAGCAGAATATTTTTAATTTATTGATAACTCAGTTTTTGAAATCCAGAAAACATCTTTTCTTGCTACACAGCAAGTGATATAAACAATGTCAGGTGTTGCAGGCCAGTCAAACAAAAAAAAGTAAAACACCCTATACATAAGAAAAGGAAGGGTAGATGTCACTGGCCCAGTAATGAGTAGTATAGTAGTGTTTTCTAATGAGGTTTTAATTAGAAAGTCTTTAAGACACATATTTTTTCTCACCTTCTAATACTACTTTAAGTATTGTTAAAATATATCTGTTTCTCAGTTTTATAGAAGAAAATATAGTATTTTAAGCAGCCAATATTTTCTGCTACTCCTTTTTAACTGTTGACTCCAAAACATTCTATTTTCTATAATTTGGTCTCCACCTCATGGCCTTTAGACAACACCATCAATTCTAGTTTATTTTACTCACCTACTTATGTTCTTCTTTTATGTACACTGGAATGCAGTACCACATGTAGCATACTGAACATAGGAGTGTTTAAAAATCAAGGCTTTACAAATAACAAAGCCCATACTGATCACTTCTCTACTTCTTTGTGAATTCAAAACTTTACACAAAAACCATCTTTATATGTAGGAATTTGTGTGTATGTATTTGTATAGATGTATACTTTGCCCTGGACCCTTACACAGTTCTGTCTGATACCTTTTCATATGTAACTGTACCACAGATGAGCAACTCACTCATATAGTCAGAGTTTAAAGTATATACAACAGATTTCCTCTAACAAAACATGAAGTTAAATAAGACAGAAAGATCATGATGCTTATCTCAAAATTCCATTCTGACAAAAGCCATTTTTATTCAAATGGAAAATCATTAGAGCTGATGAGAATGAAGTGAAAATTAACAATAACTTTCAGAATTATAGAGGACCTGAATTAGCAGGCAAGAGAACACGGAAATAGACAGCATGATTCAGTACCCTTCCCCCTTTGTATCTAGGAGTAAGCTAAAACAAGTTACCTTCAAAGGGGATGAATGTGTGTCTGAAAACAAGAGGACTGGCTGGAAGTCTTTACATAGATAAACAGACTGTGTTTTCCTTCAGGGCAGCTAGAGAAATACTACGGTCTCAAACATCAACCTGACAGTTGATTTACAAAGGCTTCTTCAGAAAACTGTGGACTACAACACTAGTGTATCAAAGGCAAGTAGAGGTGCCGTATCAGTGGAGGTAAGACACAATGAATTGTCTATCTATCCGACCACAGCTACTGTACTCTGCTAAGCACCCCTCAACTCAGTCACTCAGGAATAAGACCAAAGAATCCTTCTGTGGAGAGCTGACAGATTGAAAACACCATCAGTTACATGATCTTACTCAAATATCAATTCAGTAGTTCAGCTTTTTAAACAAAAACAAACAGCAGGAAGGATTTTAGGGGAAACAGTGCAAGGAAAAAAACCCCAATATATTCTGAAAATTATTAATGAAACAATAAAACAGGAACAAAATACTATAGAAAAAGAAACACATGTATAACAATTTTCAAATTTGTTGAAGAGATGCAATTCCCACAGACACATGATTTGTTAATAGCAACACTGAATGTTAAAAGATACCATGTTCAAATTTCTGAAGGATGATGGTTTCCAAATTAAAACTTAATTTCAGACGTGCAAAGGCTAAAACAAAGTTCACCTGCTATGTATATTTTCTTAGGAAGCTGCAGGAAAATATGTCCTTTAAATGGAGTAAATCTAAAACGAAGAAAACATGACCTCCAAGAACTGGAAACAAACACATGAAAGAAGCAAGAAAATCCCCAGGACGATGAAAGATAAGCATGCACCTAGTCTAACAACAGCTAATCCATAGAGCAGCCAAACAAACAGCTCCAGCTAGAAAGGTCCACAGGAGAGCCAGTAGACTCAGCCACTCTTGGAAGATGCTGTGAAACTATCCTGCCGAAGAGTGTGTGACAAATGTAAGCCAGAAACTGTCATAGTCAGGGTTTCTATTACTTTGATAAAAACACCATGATCAAGAGCAACATGGGGAGGAAAGCATTTATTTTAGCCTACAGTTTATAGTCTGTCACTGACGGGGGTTAGGGAAGGAACTAGGCAGGGGCTGATGAAGAGACCATGGAGAAACACTGCTTACTGGCTTATGCCCCTGCTTTCTTATACAACTCTAAACAA